GGAAATGCTTCCCTCATAATACAAGGGTGCCAAAAATATCAGAATGAAGTGATTACTCCCCAAAACAAATGACCCCACAAGAGAGGGAGAATGGAGGGTGCTGTTTTCTTCCTTGCCAGAGGGTATGAAAATGTCTTTTGTGAGAACAAATAAGGGTTTCTGTTTTACTGGCCATTTAGATCATATTATTCATGATGTTTCTAAGTTGTGGTTTTTTTTTTTTTTTAAAGATTTTATTTATTTATTTGAGAGAGAGAATGAGAGAGAGCGAGCGAGCGAGCATGAGAGGGCAGAGGGTCAGAGGGAGAAGCAGACTCCCTGCTGAGCAGGGAGCCCGATGTGGGACTCGATCCCGGGACTCCAGGATCATGACCTGAGCCGAAGGCAGTTGCTTAACCAACTGAGCCACCCAGGCGCCCTCTAAGTTGTGGTTTTAAGCTGACAAAGATTTTGGCATTCTCTCTAAAGTGATGAAGCATTTGTCCTTCACTGCATTTTTCTCCATTATAAAATACCATTCCCATTTAAACTAATTAAAATACTTAAAATCTAAACTTTAATGGGAAAGATGGTTGGAATCTTTTGTATTTTTTTCCCCTAATTTATGGCTTGGAGCTGCAATTTTCTTCTTTCTTTATTTTGACCTTAGGAAAAAAAGCAGTTGCTGTCATTGTTTTGTTTCTGTTTTCTGTTATATTCAACCCTAGCCTTTCAGAATTATTCTAATTCCTTATATGAGTCATGAAGTTTCACTTTTATTCTGAAGGCAAGAGGTATGAGATTTGTAATATTTATAATTATCTTTCAGACTCCATGACCCCCCCCAACCTACTACTTCACTATAACTCCACTTCTGAAAGAGAATTCATTGTTTTGTTTTGTTTTCTGATGCAGTAGGCATCTTGACAGAGTTGTAGCTTTAGTATCTTCAATTTTTAATTGAAATGGGAACTGGTTGTTTGCCAAGCTTCCCACTACCTACCATCACTCACTTACCTGTCTGCCCCAACCATGGGCACTGATAGAAAATTTTTAGCTTTTATTCACAGTGGACAGCTTGCTTAAGTGACAATGTCAGATCCTGGGGTCATGAGGAAGCCCCCAGTCCAAGAACTAGGGTTCAGAAGCAAGCTGTTTAGCCTCCCTGAGACCCAGCTTCCTTCTCTGTAAAATGAGAAGTTGGATGAGGTCAGTGAATAGTAAGAGTTCACACAAGTGGTAACAGGATCAGTAGCAATTTGGGCCAATATTTATGGAGGAACTTTACATGCTTTTTCAGATGCCAGGACTAGTTAGTACCAAATGGAGTAGGAGGTGGGGGAGGGCAGACTAATAAATGACTGCTTTTGATAGATTAATAATATGGTGAGAACTAAGTTCAAGAGAAGCTCTAGAAGCATGGTGGGAGCCCACGAGTTCTTTTCAATGCTTCGAAAATCAAACAAAACGCCTACATTGGCTCTGATAAGGCTGAGCTGCCTAACTGAAATGCCTAGTTTCTTTGTGGTAGCTGGAAAACGTCAACTGCGTGTGGTAAGATTGGTTCCATTATGCCGATCCCGAGCCCTGGTTGGTAGTTGTAGCCATAACTAGCAATTCTGGCACCTGTGGCAAACAGTGTGCGACGAACCCTAAAATCAACTTTTTAATTCATGTTGCGGCTCACAGATGGGTGTTATTACCAATGTGCACCATCTGGTAGCTTTCTATTTTAACTTTTCATTCTTGCTCACTAGATACAGAGCTTTTTGAATTATTTTTTTAAATGTAGTGACCTCTAAACATTAATGACCTGGGACAGAAAGTCCTGGTCGTCCTGCCCTCATTATGGTCCTGATTTTGAGTTCAAATGAGCAATGTATTATTACTTAAAACAGTTGGTTTCCTAAACCAGTGTTTTTCAAGCATGAGTTCCATGAAATAAAAATTAGCAAAAGAGAACCCTCAGTTTCAAAAATGATTTTGTTAAAAATGACTGCTGGCTAAAAGACTCCATACTGCACTACCAGGTGGCGAGTATTTTGAGTCCCAAAACTTTGTGTGTTCTTCATTATGCCTGCCGTGTTCAGTGCTCGGCACACAGTGGACACCCGAAGCATGCCAATGGATCAGCAACATCACAGCCATCCAAGTTGGTTGCTAATATATTTCCAAAAGGCCAGGCCAGTATCCAAGGCTAGGACAAACTGGGATTCATCGTCAGTTTTGTGGACGGAGCCCTGAACTAATTGGATGTCCTCTTTGCGTGTTCCAAAGATCTGTTTTGTGAATTAAAACCTCCGTAGACACACCTGTGGACACTGTCACCCCATGAGAACACTTTTTGTGGCTCTGGTCAAATCTTCGATGTTATTCTGTTATATGTCTTGCTTACTTCTGTCTTTTAATTTTTGCTTTAGATTTTGCTTCTGTCTTTTAATTTATGTCCAGATGGATAGATTTCTTTCTCTCTCTCTCTCTCTTTCTTTTTAAGAAATAGAATATTTCAGGACCATCTGGACAGGCTAAAGCAGCCAACAATGGCCCAAGTAACCATCAGGGAAGCCTGGGCACACTCAGTAATGCCCTGAATCATTTTGTCTCTGCGTTTGACTATGCGGCCACAACTACTAATACCTCAAGGTGGAATTTCTTTCCTTTTCTTTTTCCATCTGAAATCCTTCCTCTTCTTACCCCCCCCCCCCCCCCACCACCGCCACAGTTCAGTGCATAAGGCTCTCCAGGAGACTTTCTCCATGATCTATTTGCAGGCTTGCAACATTTATATTTTATATACACTTCATTCCTTCTTTACTAAACAATATGAACTACTTTGTTGGTTTGGGAAAAAGAGGAAAAGATGTTTATATAAAGCCATTCAGAAGGTATAAAGGAAAAAAAACATGTTCTGAGCTTAGAAAATTAGCAATTGCATGAGTAGGGAAGAAAATTTCAAAGTCAAGCATCAAAATTAGATCTGGAATTATTATGATTTCTTTGTTATTGAAATATAAAATGGTAAAAAATGATAAGGGGGGCGCCTGAGTGGCTCAGTCGTTAAGCGTCTGCCTTCGGCTCAGATCATGATCCCAGGGTCCTGGGATCGAGCCCCGCATCGGGCTCCGTGCTCCGCGGGAAGCCTGCTTCTCCCTCTCCCGCTACCTCTGCTTGTGTTCCCTCTTTCTCTGTGTCTCTCTCTGTCAAATAAATAAATAAAATCTTTTTAAAAAATGCATAAGGGGAAAGCTAATCAATTAGACTTCAGTTTTAAACTACTATACTTAAAAAGAATACCATATTTAAAGCTAACATATTTCAACAACTACTTACACAGATAAATGTTTATAAAATGATAGACAAAGGGAAAGAACTTTGATACAGAGTGCATTCTTACAAACCAATAAGAAAAAGAACATCCCAATTGCAAATGGCCAAAAAACATGAGCAAATAATAGCAAAAGAATACAAATGGCTAACAAGCATATGGGGAAAAATATACAACTTTATTGGTAATCAAACCAATTCAGATTTAAGGCAACAAAGTCTGATATTTGTGTAGAAATCTCAAATTTTTTGAGAAGATAGAACATAACGTCAGTGAGGGATTAGGCTAATGACTACTCTCATACTCTGATGAAAGTACAATTTGAGTCAGCTTGTCTGGAGGGCAGTTGGTCAAAAGCTTTTCAAAAGTGCTTCTCTTTAGACTCACAATCCCACTTCCTTCAGCATAATTTGTTAAGCATCCCAAATACAGCCCCTGGTTTCCAGTAACTAGAAACTAAATTTCAAGGGCCAGGGGCTATATCTATCCTAAAGAAATAATCAAATAACTGCACACTCATTGAGAATGGTGTTTTATGTGTAGTTATTTATGATAGTGAAATATTGAACCCAAGTTAAATATCCAGCAGTAGGAATTGGGCTAAGCAAATTATGGTACATCCATGTAGTAAAATGTTCCATTAAAGACAGGGTCAAAATGCTCACAATTTATCATGGTGTAAAAAGGCCTGGTAGCAGATCAACATATACAGACTAATCCCAAAGTTGTTTAAATAGAAAATGAGTAGAAAAAAATTCTAGAAAATTTTAGTTTGTGTACCACCCTCCAAAAAAAAAAAAGGTATCACTTGATAGATTTTTCTTTTTTTTAATATTCTCTGTACTTTTCTACTCATGGTGAACATTGATTATCATTACAAGCATAAACATATTTTTTAATTATTCAGAGTGGTTTCTTCAGAACAAGATGGGTAGATTTACACAACATCATAATTGGTCAATGCAACTCACTTAGAAGGAAATAAAAAAACCTCTTTGCTACTTAAGATGTTCAGTGTTAAAGTTCGTGAACACAAACACCAAGGATTTAAGTCTAATAAAAGCAAAGTTGTTTTACATCCTTGGGCCAAGAACCATCCTATAAACACAGTTGTGTGATGGCACACACTCACACGGTGTCCTTATAGCAGGGTGAAGTCATTTGTTCGCCGAGTTTCCTTCTTTTGAGTGAATGCTGTCATTTCTCACATACGGTAAAAACCATCACTACCATTGCAAGGATCCCAAGAGCAATAAATTGGGACCTGATGGGTGGAATCCTCCATCGCTGCATATCTTGGTTTATGAGATTGACCTTTTGTCTAACAATTTTCTTGGAAGAAAGAACAATCTTTCCTGAAAGAAACACATACACACAAATAACACAAGAGGTGGGTGGAGAGAAACCAACAAAAGCACCCTTTTACCAAGCTATTACCCCTAATCTCTCCAAAATATTATTGTAAACAAGGTAAACTAGAAGGCTTAGAGTATTATTTACTTCCATGTCTAAGACGCCCACTGTGCCCTTTTCTCATTGTTCCCTTGGTTCTTTTGTTCTGGATAAGCACAGGGCTGGCAGGAAGTGGATGTGACTGAGGGGGAGCCGTATATGTCTGTCTCTGGGTTTACTGTGCATTTTGAATGGTTTATGCCATGATCCTATAATGACGTGTGGTTGTTGTTCTTTCCCCCAGAATGTCGAGTGGTGAAGTCCACTTCTTACACCAAAATAGCTTCATCATCCCGCAGGAGCACCACCAAGAGCCCAGGACCTTCCAGGCGCAGCAAATCCCCTGCCTCAACCAGCTCAGGTAAAAAGCATCAACGGAGATGAAGAAACTGTCTTGTTTCTGACGCATGATGAGCAGAGGGTGTGTGAAGCCCAGAGCGTGAGATTTTTAAGATAAAGTAGATTCCGGTTTACAATTTTAGAACAAGTTGGAGTGGTGGAACAGATTTGCCAGAGTCTAGCAGGTTAGCTTTAAGGAAAAGCACCAAGCTTGGGAAAACTTACTTAGCAAAGACTCAGGAAACCCAGATTTGCCCACAAATAGTATTATACCACTGAGTTGCTTCATTTCTACTACAAAAATCAGTTTTTCAGGCTAAGAGCCCCCAGCTCCAGAAGTCTCTGTTGAAGCGTTTATTCTACTTGGGACTGGCTTACGAGGAGTTTCCAGTTTGTCTTTGCTGAACTTCCGTAAAACATCCATTTTACTTTGGACTCCAGTGTGGCTCTGGAGCTCAAAGCAGTGAGAATGAGAGCCTGGGGCAGGGAAGCTGTGGGGACTCTGGGTCTGTGTCCTATCTCTCAGTGCCTCTAGTGCTGGTGCTAGAACAGGAGGTATACTCACAAAATGACCGTCTCAGCCCTGCGTCTTCCTTCTTCGGTCTTAAAAAAGACATGTGCCCGTTAGAAGGTGTGTGTTTGGATTGGTTTGTTTGTTTGCTTGTTTTTCTTTTTGCTTTCGGGCAGAAGGTCTATTTCACTATTGAATGGAATTATTTATTAAATAATATAAACTGTTAAATGGGAATTTATTAAATGATGCATACATCAAGGTGATTGTCTCTAATTTCATGAAGACAGAGAAGCTCTTATAAATAGAGGCAGAGACCACAGAGGCCTTCTTGTACTCGCCAGCGTGGGCCCAGAGGCATGTGCAAAAATCTCTAAGCTGGGCCTCCAAGGCCTGCCTCTGGCATCCCTCACCAGCTGTTAAACTACAGTGTGAGTTATAACCTCCATATTTAAAAATAGAGGTGCTATGATCCGTTTTTCCTAATAAAAAATAAAACCATAACCTCCAAAGAGAGTCTTGGAAAAAGGAACTCTTAGTAAGCTGCATAGCTAGAGCACCCAGCTCAACTTGGTTCTCTAAGAGTTACCTTCTCCCTGGGCTTTCACTGATCATAGCTATTCCCTAGATCTTCTCCTTTGACACTCCCCGTAAGGGTGGCAACAATGGGCGGCCCCTGCCCCCTTCTCACAGCATGCCCTACATCATAAGCAGTCAGGGAATGCGTCTCAGATCATGTTTGGTACTTGAGATGCAGCTTGTTTGCTCCTCCTAGTTTAAGGGTGGGCTGAGAACTCCTTCCTTAATACGACATACCACACCCAGATCGGGTGGAACCCTGAAAAGACACTTTGCTAACGGGTAAGGTATTGAGACTCAAAGTTTAAAGTGCATGAATGTCACTTGGGAACGCGGTAAAGTTTGTCATTCTGACTGCCGCCCCCACCCCTCAGATTCTGATGAAGGCCATAAACCTACGTTTTAGCAAGTATTCTAGGTGATTTTAATCAGATGGTATTTGCACCCTATGATCAGAAGCAGTGGGTTAAGGAAGAGGTTCCCAAAGTGTGGTTCCCTGGACCAGCAGTAGCACCATCACCTGAACACGTGTTAGAAATGCGGTCTTGATGAGCCCCCTCCGCAGACCCACTGAATCAGAAACCCTGGAGCGAGGGCCCAGCCATCTGGGTTTTCACAAGCCCTCCAGATGATTCCGATGCTCATCCAAGTTTGAGAACTAATGAATTACAGATAACAAAAGGGAAAAAAATACACAGAGTCATTTGGCCCTGCATAATCTGGTGAGCGATATGGCTTGCTCGTCTTCATTTATTGACATAACAGCAATGACTTCCTCTGCTTGCTTCCAAGTGGCGATGTCCGTCTTTAACCCTTGCAACCCAAGAGCAGAGCTCTAGTTACCATGAAGTGTAGGCCCAGGTTATAATGACCCACCTTCAGAGAGCCAATTACCTGGGACAAGAGAGAATTCCTGTCTGAAGATCATCCCGTCCCTGGAAACAGATATGGGGGAAAGTCTTTCCCTTCAAGAGAGATACCACCTACACAAAGACCACATTTTGTAGAGGTTCACAAATTAACCTTGTTGATTAAGCTTGAGCTCTTGTGAGCATGTTCAGTCTGGACCAAAGAACACTGCTCATTTTCTCTGAGCAAACCTGGGCTATCGAATGAACCCCCGTGGAGCAGTAAGGAAGAAAGAGGTCATGGGCCTAGCCAGCCTGTTGCCCCTAAAACCTTGGCTATTTAGTATAATCATGGAAAGTTATAAAGGAGAAAGAAGCCCCACATTACCTGGAACATTGGCAATACTAGTAAAAACAACAGTATTAAAAAACAAAATTAGTCCCCAATCCAAAACGAGTCTGACATTGACAAATTTTTTTTATCTTTTCTCTCTTCTTTCTTAGTATATACCAGGTGTAGTGGGGGAAACATCTAATAATGGGTGATTAGCCAAATTCTTATGTCTTTTACAGTATAGCTACTTCAACAGAATCTATATGCATTATTTAAGCGCTATAGCTATTGACTTTTTGTTATTGTTTTTAACAGTTTTTAAAATGTTGGTTTCGTTTTATTTTTTTAATTGAAGTAGAGTTGACACACAATGTTGCATTCGGCTCAGGCATACAGCATAGTTGATTTGACAAGTCTATACCTTCTGCTGTGCTCACAAGTGTAGCTCCCATCTGTCACCAGACAACGCTATTATAAGGCCATTGACTACATTCCCTTTGCAATGCCTTTTATCTCCGTGACTTATTCATTCCATAACTGAAGCCTGTATTTCCCACGTCCCTTCACTCATATTGCCCATCCCCCAACTCCCTCCCTCTAGCAACCATCAGTCTGTTCTCTGTATTTATGGGCCTAGCTCTGCTTTTCCATTTGTTTATTCATTTAACAGGTTTTATTTTTAAGACCTGTAGGCAGGCAGTAAAGTGCTCCTAGGTTTGGGCAGAAAATTTTTTTTTCTTTTTTTCTTTTGTCCTCATAATTCAAGGAAGGGGGGATAAGTCAAATTGTTGTGCACATGTCGAAGAATGGAATCATGAGATCTGGAGTAGTTATGGTCTGCTGCTAAGTTTTCTACTACAGATGCAAAATAAGTGTCCTCACGCTTTCTGTCTGATTGTGGCAGCCAAGATTGAATGAGGGAATACAAGAGAAAAACGTAGAGAATTTTTGCGACTCAGAAATAACCTTGCAAATAGTGAAAAACCTGTTTTACTCCAAAAATGAATCTAAAATTTGACTTTACAAAAAAGAATCATGAATCTAATTTTAAAAAAGATAATTATGAATACGGGAAATTATTGCACTTTAGAATTAACTGGTAACAGAATCACTACTCAGCATCTCTAAGATTATATAAATCTCATAAATATAATATATCTAATATATCTAATTATAATCTTATAAATATAGATGAATTTTAATTTACCAAAAGTAATTTCAGAAACTCTAAAAAGCAGACAGGCAAATGTAATGAATGCATGTATATTCATCACTGCCAACATTTGTAACTATTCTTTTTAGAAGTTTAAAATCGGTAGGATGCATTAACCTCAAAATCAATAGATTTTTTTCAAACAAGCATTTCTCTTTTGTTTCTCTGAGCCCTTTCAACTCTAGTTAAAGTCTGGTTGATTTGACCAGCACTAACTAACCTGGAATTTATGATAGGTGTGCCATGCCGGGTAGTAGTATCGTTTCCATTAAGAGAGTGGAATCCAAATCCATTCTAAAATTAAACTTCACTCAAGGTATTTTTAACTTCTAGGTCAAAATTAATTAAGTGGCACTGATCGTATTTTGTTTAATGTGAGACCTTTATGCATATACAGTTTTGCATTTTGATCTAGAAAGTACGCCATGCAACCATTTCTTGGTTGTATAACAGCTTATAATATGCAATGACCCTCTCTTGATTCTGACTTGCTACCAAATCTTATCACCTTCTTCTGGGTGATTCTAATTTAGAGAGGGTTTACAGAGCAGCAATACCCAGTCACAGATTTGTGGAGTATGTCAGTGTTCCCAAGACCGCTCTCTTTCCCTGGACCCAGAGTTTAGGAAGTCCAGTGGTATTTCCATTTCTTTTCTGGGCAAACACAGCTGCTAGATGTCAGGGAAGTCCTGCCTCAGTCCCCTCCACTGTGCTGGCCTAAGACTCCCAGCTCCAAAAAACAAAACAAAACAAAACAAAACAAAAAGACTCCCAGCTCCACTCAAGTATGGCTCTTAAACCCAGTGGAAAGGAGACTGAATTATCTGTATATTAATTGCATCTCCATTTTCTTAAAATGGCCTGTTCACTGTTTTGCAGAAATCATAAAGACTAGACTGTGAATAATTTTACTTTCATACCTCTTAAGCACTGATGTAGCCCCAAACCCAATTACCATCATGAACCTGACTTTCTAACATTAAAGAATCTTTGTTTCTCCCCATAAAGTATCAACTCAAAGTTTGAAATGATTTTTATTTCAATTGTTCAATTTCTACTTCCAGTATTCATCATCCTATGTTATACAAAGATTATTGCATAGTATACAGTTAAGATTTGCTCAGTTTTCATGCCATGCTGCTGTTCATGGTAATACTGTTAACTTATATTTAAATGACATCAGAGTTTACATAGGATTTTTCTGTCTTTGATTTCTTTTGATTCTCCTAACCATCTTCCAACTACAATCAAGACATGATAATATTATCTGTTATATAATAATATAGCCTGTTTTTGGAAATGAGGAAGCAGCGAGGGCTGGGGATACTGCTTGGCCCAGAGTGACAGAGTTAATCGTGGCAGCTCAGGGCTGACACCTGGGGCCGGTGCTCCAGACAAGGGCGGCTGGCCATCCTCAATATCTGTTTCTTCACCTCTGTTTATGAGAGATTTGATCTCCAGGAAATCACTAACACAGTACCTAGTTTAACATTGCAATTTACAACAACATAACACTTTGCAATAGAAGCCTAAGTAT